CGTGGGGAATGGGAGGACAACCTATTTTAGCCGAGATAGGTGGGTGAATAACTTCATTTTGGAAACTTCTTTCCCTGAATTATATCAACTAGCTCGGCTTCCGGTGGCTTTTGTTCATTAATTCTCAACTAATCCCCGGATGGAACAAGATGGAGATGACGTGTTCAATTCTCTAGACGATTTAACTGGTTGGTTAGTCTTCAAATATTTAGAGTTGATGGATATTCAGGTTGAGTTAGAAGAGGAATCGGACAAAAGAGGATTTGGCTATGGGAAGCTAACGTAATATTTTTCAACAAGTTCCTCGTATCATTTTGTAAGCGAGGGAGGGCTAGTGCTGATTTATGGAGAGTAAAAGCTCCTTCGAAAGTAAAATTTCCTTTTCTAGCTTCCAATTCTAGTAAAATTTCCTTCGAAAGTAGAATTTATTAAGCTATAAATTTAACCTATGTGGTATTCCTTTTGACCTCGATCCCCACAATACGGAACTCTTGGAGAATTTCAAATTTGAAGTGAGACATGAAAAAGAAACGTGCTACGAGAAATCAAATCAAACGAACGTCGAGAGAAGGCCAAACGAACCAAATCAATGCTACAAATACAAATAACCAATTTTAACGTGGTTTGGTAAGTTGCCTACGTCCACGGGGCAAGAAGGGGATAGAGTTTTTTACTAATAGAGAAGAAGAGTACAAACTGAGATTACAAATCACTCAAACTCACAAATTAATCTCACCAACAAATCTCTAATTCTCTCCAAACAAAACCCTAACCAATAGCTCAGAAAATACCTCTTTTTTGTGCTCCAAATATCCCAAATTTTCTTCTCAATCCTCTCTTCCAATTGTTCCATATATATAGGAATCCTAAAATCATAAACATACTAGGAATTCTAAAACAAAAAATAAAATAGATTAGGAATCCTAATAACCTGTTACCAAAACAGATTAGGAATCCCAATAACCTGTTACCAAAACAAATTAGGAAACATATTAGGAACCTGCTATCCAACAATTCTCCACCTCGGCGAAGTTTTCCCAAAACTGAGCCGACACCAATACCAACCAAATGTCTCACTTGTTGCGTCCAGTACGAAGTGGAACAAATCCACGACAACGGACTCAATCCACAACAAGTCGAGAACCCAAACGAGAATGCGAACAAACTCCAAATGTCGGTATCAACTCACCAAACCGGTTGCATCATAAATGACTACCTACGTATCCTCTTGTCCAAGGAATCAAGCATTCACGTAGTTCACCCAAATGGTCTCCAAAGGCCCTCAATCAAATAAAAAAGTTTACAACTCTTCACCAATATCACCAACGAATCTGCAACTGATAGCGCTCCCCATGGCCCCAAACTGAAACAAATCAAACACCTCTACCTTAGGTGAACCAATGGCCGTATCCAAAACATGTCTACCAGCTGCACTCAAATCCAAAACCAACTTATCATCTGCATCCAAATCTAAATGATCTCCAAACTGTATCACCTCAGCTAGAATCCCAAACGATGCAGTATGATCTGGAGTATGTGGAGTAATCTCCACCCAATGTGAAGTAGCATCACCCTCTACTCGCTGCGATATCCCAATGATCTGATCAACACTCTCCACCCGCCGAGAGTCAAATGTGACATACCTACTCAGAACAAAATCAGAAGTTCCTAACTGATAATCAAACGAACCTCTGAATCCCAAACGTGCAATCAGATCAAATCTCACATCCTCGATATGACCAAATGTTGGGCAACCAAATATCCGACGCAACCCAAAATCTAAAGCAGCTCCACTAGATCCAAAATCTCCACATGTAGCAATCGGCAACCTATGACCAAGATGACCCAAATATGTCAAAGTTCCAAAACCAAAACCAATGCTCGACAACCAACGCCGATCCCCCTCCAGTAAGGAACGACCCATCAAAACTATCATCTCATCTCGTCGTCCCAATATCTCCATATCAACGAAGTGTCTCAAACTGCCATGAGCTCGGCACAAATACAAGAAAGAACCCCTACCAAAGCTAGAACGACGCGTTACCTTTCTGCCAATACACTTCTTCCAATTGTTGTTGACTTCTAGGACTTCACACCAACAAGACCTGGTTGAAACCTACTAATGCCTAGAATAATCCCCAACTGCGAAAACCAAATACCGATTACCTCCCAATGATGTCTCCTTGGAAGGCTCCCAAATGCCTGACTGAACACCACCTAAAAGACCCCTCGATCGATGGATAGAAGTGCCAAAATCTACATCGATCTTATTGCTCATACCAATGTACTCAAATGACTTCAATCTGCAGGTCAAAGCACTCTTCAACAAACCATGCACGGCATAACTAATCAAATAACCCAGTCTCAACAAATGCCACAATCTAGCCAAATCCAAAGAAGTCGTCAGCTCTCTATCAAACACTGTGCTCCCAATCAAATAATACAAATTATTCCTCCTGACACCCTTTATCATAATCATGGACCCCAATGTGACCTTCAAATGTGAATCGACCAAGGTCACCCTATAGCCTGCTGCCTCCAAAACTCCAAGTGAAATGATGTTCTTCTTCAACTGAGGAACGAACCTCACTCCAACCAACTCCCGAATCACTCCGTCACTCATCCTAATCCGAACAGTACCGATACCACCAATAGCTCTTTCCAACTCCTGAAAGCTGGGGAACCAATCCCTCCTAGGGCAAATATGGTAATAAGCACCCGAATTCAACATTCACTCTGTAGAGTCGGCAACACAAACTGACGGTAGTGCAGATAACAAGTAGCCTTAAGAATTCGAATCTGAATTATTGCCACTAACCTTGACAACATTCACCTCTGAAGCTTGAATAGCTTTCCCCTTATTCTTCCCGGTTCGATCAACCAACTTTGGGCATTGGGCTTTCTAATGTCCATCCTCTTTACAAAAGGCACACTGATTCCTACGAACTCCAAGATGTGCCCCTCTAGACTGCGATCTCCTACCACGATTTGGACTCTTTTCTTTTGCGACCAATGCCCCCGCTACCGGCTCAACTAAAGTCTCCTTATCCTTCTTTCGAAGCTGATAATTCACAAGTGCAGCGGTGACCTCACTATAAGAAAGAGATGTCTTCCCATTAATAAGAGTAAGAACGAAGGTCTCATATTCCTCGTTAGGCAAAGAACTCAACAACAACAACGCCTTGTCCTCATCTTCAATCATCACATCTACATTCGCCAAATTCACAAGAAGCTTCGTGTAGTGATTCATGTGATCACCAATGGAGGTCCCCTTCTTCAATTGGAAGCGATAAAGCCTCCTCTTCAAATGCAAGTCTTCAATTGGAAGCGATAAAGCCTCCTCTTCAAATGCAAGCGGTTCTCTACACTCTTGGTCAAATACTTACCCTCTAGGATCTCCCAAATCTTCTTAGCCGAAGTCTCATTGATCACATCATATTTTAAATCTTGAGTCAAACAAGATCTAATCACACCACACGCCGTTCTATTCATCTTTTTCCAAACATTCTCCTCAATGTCGTCCGGTTTCCCGTCCAACTCCAAAGTATCTTCCAAATTTTACGCATTGAGCGCATCCAAGACTTCACATCTCTAAAAACCAAAATTGTTTGTGCCATAAACTTCTCCATATTTATCTTCATAGAGTGAATATTCAAACTTTGGACGGTCTTCACGTCGAAAGTACCCTCCACAACTTCTTTCCCAACCATCTTTCTCAAAGCACCAAAACAAATGCGGAACAAATGAAGAACAGATCTAAAACTAAAAAGATAAAGTCTTTACCAAAAAGATCCCACCTTTATCACCAAACGAAACCCTAGACGAGCCTCCAAAACGACCTACTCCTCCAAATAGCCCAAACGTAGCCCGAGTTCTGATACCACTTGTTGAGCACTGCGGAAGCCAAACAACCAAACCAACGTGCTACGAGAAATCAAATCAAACGAACGTCGAGAGAAGGCCAAACGAACCAAATCAATGTTACAAACACAAACAACCAATTTTAACGTGGTTCGACAAGTTACGTACGTCCACAGGGCAAGAAGGGGATAGGGTTTTTTCACTAATAGAGAAGAAGAGTACAAACTGAGATTACAAATCACTCAAACTCACCAATTAATCTCACAAACAAATCTCTAATTCTCTCCAAACAAAACGCTAACCAATAGCTCAGAAAATACCTCTTTTCTGTGCTCAAAATATCCCTAATTTTCTTCTCAATTCTCTCTTCCAATTGTTCCATATATATATAGAAATCCTAAAATCATAAACGTACTAGGAATTCTAAAGGAAAAAACAAAACAGATTAGGAATCCTAATAACCTGTTACCAAAACAAATTAGGAATCCCAGTAACCTGTTACCAAAACAAATTAGGAAACATATTATGAACCTGCTATCCAACAAGGGGGACAATAGAGTTTTTACACACAAAAGCACAAATTCTCTTCAAGTATGGGAAAAAATTACTGCTTTGCTTGATTTTAGTTGGGAAAAAAAAATTCCCTGCAGCTATTACAACTGGAGATGGAGCTGATGTGATGGAGGAACTTGTGCGGGGAGCTAAGAAAGGAGTTGCGGAAGGTGTAAAAGTGAAACTTCCCCACAGGGACCACTTTGTGAGACCCCAACGGACCTGAGGGGCTAATAGGTAATTTCAAAGGTTTCTGAGACTAATATAAAATTGTTGAAGATTTGAGGGCCGAAGAGCACTATTACCCTTCTAAAAATAAAAGTCCATCATCAGTTAGTCCTGTTGGTTATTTAAGCAGGCTAATCAATCGCTGTGGCCCACTAACAAGCCGACTGCTGTAATTTGCCTCCATTTCATTCCCCTCATTTCATTTCCCTGATGCAAACATTGCACCCAAAAAATAAATTTTTAAAAATATAGAAAGATCGTGAGAAACTGGTGTTTGATATAACTTTATCCTTTGAACCCCAAAAAAAAAAAAGAAAAAAAAAAACTGGTGTGGCGTTCGATTCCAGTTTCAGAATCAGTTGTCCATAAAACTTGCATGTTACCCCTTAAAGCATGTAATCATCACTAGTACAATGATGTGCATTGCTGTGAGGATCTGCACTTATCATCACCAAGCACAATCTTATTTAATTGGGTATATGTCCCCAAATACAGCACATTTCAAACTATGTCGTGTGACTAAACAAACTCTCGACTCTGTCGTAAAACACAAATCACACTTCGACAATTATTACAAGTTCATTCATGCTTGACAAGTGATATGCTTATAAACCCTTATGTTATATACTTGCGGATAAGTGCCTCAGAATACTCTCCAAAAGTAAAATTTTCATTGCGTGGGATCATCTGTAACAGAATGTAGAATATTAGTATTTGTATAATTAGAGAAATGATGAGGACTTATCATGGGTGTTTTCTTTAGTAACAATATGTAGTACACTAGAGAGGATTCCAGTAGAACCTTTATATCAAAATTGCTCATGTCCCCCAGCTTAAGATCTTCATCTCTGTCAAAAGAATTAAATAAAAACAGTTCTATTTGTAGCGGCTTTATACTGTGTGTTTCAAAGACATGTATGGGTTGTTTGGTTCCTTGCAACTGTAATTATAATGTTGTTCAGATCCAGATTCTCTCTAATTAGGGTGAATTTAAGAGTATCCAATTACTTTAATCCTCAATCGTCCAATCTAATTTCAAGGTATAAGATAAGGCCACGGGTTTTCATGATCATCTTGAAAACCACTATTTACTTGGAAACCACTATTGTATCTATTGGAAATCCTACATGGCTTTATCTTGTCCCTTGAAATTCTAATGGATGGTACAGATTTGGTTAATTGGACCCCCTTCAATTACCATAGAATTGGAGTTGTAAATTAAAGTCCACAACAACTAAAAAGTGTGAGAACTGTCTCCAAACTGTGTTCAACTGGAGGGCAATTGCAAATGCATTATTGGTTGTACTGAAACAAAAAACTGCAACAAACCCAAAATGACAAATGCAGTTGCAATCGCTACAGTTGTACGAACCAAAAACCCCGTAGTCAAATACTATCAAATATCTACATAAGCCTGTGAAATGTACAAGAAAAAATAATTATAACTGCTAACTTGAACTGTATAGATCATGGACTGTCTTTCTGCAGTTACCAGTCAGGTTGCATGAACATTGCGAAACTTGAGCGTGCCACACCTGCAGCCTCCTCCAAGCTAGGTGCCTAGCAGCAAAATTAAAAGGCACAAGAAACTATAAGTGGAATAATCTAATTTAGCAGATAAGGTATGGAAAGAAAGAAGAAGCAATGACTAAGAGAGGCATCTTCTATTAATACAACTATGAACTATTTCAGTATGAACTATTTCAGTGAACAATGCATGTTGAGGTCATATAGCATGAATCTCAAAGCAAAATCAATGGATAAAAAAGTTGGGGGACAAGAGCTCCTATCCACTAAAGCTTATTCTAGCTTTACTCTAAATGTGTGTTGTGTATAGTAAAACTAGAATTAATTTAACGGATTGAGGGCTACTGTTATTATATCCATTGGATTTGACTTGAGATTCATGTTGATGTGTGTCGCACACCGCCACGAATCTCAAAGTAAAATCAAGGATAAAGGTGTTGATGGATATAGTACTCAGTTCACTTTAAGTTTACTCTAAGGGAGGGAGGGAGATAGTTTAGTTTATAATCACAGGCAAAACATCTAACAATAGAACTCAGTTTATCAGTAGACATAAGTGCACTATTGCTAGTGCTGATCTGTTCTTTGGAAGCAATGATTTCAACAATGTTGAGGTGATGCTTTTAGTACTAGAATATGAGAAGCAACAAGAAAAATATTTGGAGGAGTTTTTCATGTCAACTACAGAGCCACATGCTGCCAGTCACGTACACATGCTACGAGAAAAATTCATTCAAATGTTAGATTCTAAAGAAGCCCTCGTCGAGGAAGTAAAAAAAACAGATGGAGAAAATCAATGCTAAGTATAAAGCAGATGCTAATTGATGCATGAGAAGAAAATTATCTATCGATGAAGCTACTATTCAAGAAAATTATGCCAGTCACATGCACATGATATGAGCTCGAGGTCGAGCTTCTTTCGACAATGAGAGACTGATGTAGGATGCATAACGAACAAATTCATAAAGGAGGACTATCACAATCTAAATGCGGATATGTACACATTATTAATTTGCACACAAAGAAAGGACCATATTTCCTAATCCAGAAGGCTGATATATTATATATGAAAATCGCCTATCTCTACGAGACGGAGTCAATCAGCTTGGCAGATTCCCATAATCCTATCAGCAGTACCCAATTTTGACTGAAATTTGAAGATAATCAGCTTTGAGTTTATTTTTAGTAATAAAGTTAAGAGTAAATTTAAATTAGGAAATCAATTTTGATTCAATTTGGACTGACTTGTTTCCTTTATTATAGCGAGTCTTTTTGGTGGTTTTAAATTATTTTTTTCTTTTAGGAATTATGTTATTATTAGGAGGAATTGTTTTTCTATTTTAGAATAAGGATTGTAAACCTCATTGTTTATCAATAAAATTTTTCTTATTATATTTTCTTTGTGTATTCAAAGTTCTTCGTGGATTCAGAGATCGTTCTTTATGGATTCAAAGGGCAACCCTTGGTGGATTTCGAGGTTTATCACTTCCGCGCTGCGTTATCTGTTCATTATACAATCAAAAAATTGGTGTTCATATATTATAATCCGAGGTTTTCAATTTTTTTTCTCTTATAACTGTTTACCTCATCCTTGAGGTCTGGCTTAGTAGTAAAAGTTGGGTTTGGGTTTTGAGATAGATTCAAGTCTAGGCTACATGATGTTTCCTCGAAAAACAACTATTTGTGAAGAAATTCCAAAAAGGAAACTAAAAGAAGTCATGTTACTACTACTATATGCAACAGATTGAGTACCATACTCACAAACACATGACAATCACATAGAAACTAAAAAACGACTTTATAAAATTCTTGTATGAATAGTATAACGTTACTGAGCAAATTCCTAAAATTCTACTGCTTGCAGGCACAATTCTTGTATGAAAACATTACTAGGGACTTGATGATTCAGAGGAATACCAGGCTAAGATAATAGCAGTAGCATATAAAATATATTACAATCAGAATTTATTAAAGAGAAAACTTAGTTATCTTATAGCAGGACAAAGGAACTAGATGACAATGAGCAAAAGAAAAACGATGAAAACAGGAAATGGTACAACAAAAGGATGACAACAAAGAGAGACATTTCGCGGACAAACCAAGAGGAGGTTCCTTGAATCTTGCAGAGGGAGCATTAACTCCCTTGTGTTATCAGGTCAATGTGGAGATAATGAAATTATGTGACATACCCTGACACAATGTGGAGTTGCACAAAGTCGGCCTCCTGAAATGATTTCAAGCGTATCACCAATTTGGTATGCCAATTCATCCTCTCCAAAGACAACCTAACATATCAATATGAAAACCACCATTGCACACAAGAAATGCTGTCATTTTGGTACAGAAAAGAAATATGGGGTGAGGAAAAAAACCATAATATTAGTTATCTGAGAATACGATATGGTCAGAAAACTTGAAACATCCTTATGCCTACAATTTAAACAAAAACAATAATCTCCGTGGAAGCATGTCCAGAGGGAAATTATAAAGCAATTATCCACTGTAAAAAAAATGAATTTGTCAATGTAAAGAATAATCAACAAAAACAATCATCTCCGTGGGAGCATGTCCAGAGGGAAATTATTAATAATTATCCACTGTAAAGAAAATGAATTTGTCACCCAATTAGAAGTGGGACTCTAGATACAAGCCATCATTGACAAATATGTTTTGGATGTTTGAAATGTCCCTTAATAGAAGCCCATGCATAATTAAAGTGAGGGAAAGATTCTGACTGGAAACATGTGTAACAAAGGGAAATTTTGTTTGCCATGGTACTAAGGTCAAACTTTGATGAATATAGAGATTTACCTCTTTATGTATCGGAAGATAACAATCTGCATTTCAACACTCTAATGTATCTTTTCATCATTTCTATGCATGTTAAGATCGTAATTTCTCAAAGTAATCAATAATTTCATATTCCAGAGACTAAATAAATCAACGCAAATACATGCATCAATTCAGAACAATTTACAAATTCAATTTCTTGGTGACAGGTTTTTTTAATGATGGTTGACATGCAAACCAGAAAAACCACAATGCAAAAGCTACTATCTCCGGCGATAAGTAATACAGGACGAACAAGAGGAAGACTAGAACTTTTGACAAAGATGACTAGGGCTTTAGCATTTAAAGATACACTAAGAATGTAAATGCATTCATAAACACAAGACCTCGAGTTTAAGAAACATGTGAATCCACCAAGTGTGCTGTTTGAATATGTGTGAAGACACAGATAAAATTTGCATACTTAGTAGAATCGAGTTTGAATATCTTTCCCTTATTCGACTCAAATTTAAACACGAATTTGAATTCCAATCTATTTGAATCTGAGTACTACACAGAATTGGATTCAATTTGTTTCTATTGTACCTCTAACCATGCCACATTCTAATCCTAAGATGGTCACATTATCAGCACCATTGGATTGGGTTCAGGAAATATAATCAGAAACAGCAGAAGAGTGCTAAATCTGGAGAACTGCCCACACAAAATCTGGAAAGTCCCATTACATACATGATAGGAGTCAGCTTGCACTTGATTTCAATAATTTGTATCAACCAATCATTTCCCCAGTTTGACGCTAATCCTTGCCTTAAAAAGATCTAGTTAGTCATGATAAAATTTATGTTTTGATTCTTTCTGCACTAGTTAGTTTTCATGTAGATTGGTAAATATTTCCCTCCTCAAAAATGGTTATGAGGTGGCAACTCTTATCCAAGTAAACACAAAATTCAAAGCTTCTCTATGTAGAGACATAGGCATACACATACTACGTTCTTCTAATGAAACATCATTTAACATACATTCTTTGCCACACTTTTTTTTTGGGAATTAGTTTAGTATTTTCTACTATTTACAGCTTCATGAATTTATAGTTCAACGAATGTGGTGTCTCTAAAATGTTAAGCATGGGTTTTCTTAATTATGTATTTAGTATTTGACTTCATCGCAAGGAATCCACATGTCAGTCTGTCAGACCTAGGTCAACCTACATTCTAACATAAGTTGAAAGTAAATGTATTTATAATAATTAGCCACAGAAATATCTCAATGCATCAGCTGTTACTCCAAACATTTGCATCATCATGGGACTGCCCCTTAACAAGATTAGAGTAGCATTTGAACTATACCAGATAACAAGCACCATACAAACTGTATTTGAAGAGGGGAGACGTGGGGTATGGCTCGCCACGTTCCATCCTCTAGGTCATTAAACTTTGTAAACTTGGCTTGGATTTAGGCTTAAGACACTGATTCGTCAAGTTGTGTTTATATTTAGTCAAGGTGGCATCATATCATACTATGTACTCAAACAAAAGCCAAGTTGCAGACTTGGCATCTTCTTAGAGCTTCGTCTCTTCATCTTCCTATTATTAGTAATTAATAACTAAAATTTTATTAATCATTTAATTTTCTCTTTATTTCTTCTTTCCTTCTCAACCAACTTCTTAACTTGGAAAGATTTACATATTGACATTTGTTCTTAATAAAATTTCAGATTCCAACGAGAAAAAGTATTGAGGGGTGATCATTTTGTTTATGTAATTGTCAAATTATAATCTATGTGTTAGAATTAATATAAACATATAATCCTCGACCCTCACCATAACTTCAGAGTTTTGGTGTAATGGTTAGAGGGACTAAATCTAAGATGGTATTAGAGCAACCCAGGTTCAAATCCCAGTGGTCATGAATTTTAAGCAGATTTTCTAAAAATTAACACCGCTGCGTCAATTGAGCACTCAACCTGCGGGGGTATGTTAGAATTAATATAAAACTATAATCCTCGACCCTCACCGTAACTTCGGATTTTTAGTGTAATGGTTAGAGAGACTAAATCTAAGACTATGGCTATATCTATATCCATATTATTATTACTATCAAATTATAATATTACCATAATATATGCATCAACCCAACAAAAGTCATTACATATGATAGGTTTTTGTCGCCTTGCGACACACATTTTTGTGTCACATAAATGAAGCGCGACACAACTCAAAAGTGTAGGTAGAGCATGTGTGGAGAAAATCTTTCCACACATGTAACAATGTGTCATGAAAATCACAACACATACATGTATCGAGGGTGGCGACACATATATGCATCGAGTCCCAGTTTTGTATTTTTTGAATTTTACGCTCATATACCAGAGTTTCTTATCCCACCTATCCATTTTTAATGGAAACCCAGCCACATACACATATTACCATTCTAATCAAAGACCACATACACATATCACTGAGTTCTAGTCATAGCCCACCAAGTACCTCAGTTTTAATGAATAATGTCCCCGTTACTTTGTTTTCCAATCCAGCTACCCGACCACATCAATTCAGCAATCAAATTTAAGCAACTTAATTTCCTTGCAGCTGAACGATGTGGGACTAATTTCCTATTATGATACAGCGATGATTAATTTCCCATTAACGGAAGAATGAGGGACAAACATGACGAAGATGAAGAGAAAAATCAATGCTATAACATTTATCTTACAATAAATTGCAGAATTGCAGCATAAGCGCACTTTGAAATCATCCAATGAAATAATGCAAAGAAAAAAAGTGCATGCAACCTAATTCTGAGTGTTTTTTAACTAACAATTTTAATGATTTCTTGATTGAAACGGTTCTTTTATGTGAATCTGCTTCAGTATGGAATTCAGCAGCTCGGCTCAACTCATGTAGGAAGTTGATAGGTAATTGTTACACAGTTAACCTTTCTAGTAACACAGTGGATTCAATAGAACACTGAATGCCCTTAGAAAATAGTTGTCAGAAGAGCCCAAATAATGTTTTATAGGCAGTTGCAACCCTATTTGCTACTGATGAAAAAATCAATTGTTGCCAGCATGAACATGAATAGAAACGAGAAAATTTTGATAGACACTGCAGTTTTTGAATGAATGAATTTAGATGAATGCTACATATACCTACAAGCATAACTATGTGAATAATGCAAGCAAAGCTGCAACAACAACAACAACAGCAACAACAAAAATCAATGTCAGAAAATCAATGAATCATAATATATTATCTTTTAAACCAGAACATTAAACTGACTCTCAAATAGTTCATGAAAACAACTTACCTTGAACTTCTGATGTCAGGATTTGTGATATTTTTTTAATTGTGTCGCCTCTGTGCAACATACACACTACTTAATTGTATGGAGAAATTTGTGTTGTAAGTTGCAACTTTTGTTGTAGTGACCCACCAATATTATAATTAAGTATTACCATAATACATATGCAACAATATTTAATGATAAATCCCGAGCATAGCATGGGCGATAACTAGTTTGTGAGGTGGTTTCTGATATACTCTCACCTCACCTCGTTCAGGGCAATCATTGGCCTGACAATATTATACCTTCCCTCGCTCCTTCCTCTCAGTTGAAACAGGAATTTAGCGACTCACTGTTGCGTCCAGCTCAAGAGCAGAAAACTAACACTAATTCTTTACTCGTAGGCACACAAAAACATTAAGGAGATGATCGATGTTTAGGGTTCAACTTCCATCCTCTCCCCTTTAAAAAGGAGAGACATATAACGTCATAGTAAGCGTTACCCGCCAATGGGGAAAAAAAGGAAATATTAGGAGAGAGAAGTGGAAAAGGACAAAGAAGAAAATAATTAAAATATTTACATTCCTTTAGTGGTCTAAGCAATTTTAAAGATTTACTACAGAATCTATATCGTCATCCCAGAAACCAGATGGTATATATTTTTAATTTTCTTTCTGTTGGTTTAGAAATTTATGCATGCATAATTTGCTTAGCATAAATAAATTCATGATATCCATAGCCTTCCATTATTATACATCAGATTTAGTGTATCTTTAAGTACTACAAAGAGGTGTATCAGATCATCAAGAAGGATATCTGCCTATTTTTTTGCTAATAAGTTGGATTCAAACTTAATTCATTTTACTCATTATTTCCCTTAAAACCAATAAACACAATAATACATAAAGCATACTGCGGAAGAAGCTATTTCTAACAGAAGTATGCTAAATGTATTTATACAGAAAATTGATTAGACGTTGTGTCTAAGGAAACAAGGGAAACAGAACACAGCACTAGACAAAACGAAAATGCCTTACAGAAAGTCTCAAGAAACTAAAAGAATATAATGTTTAAATTAAAGCAAATCATAAGGAATCAGAACATTACTTTTACAATTTCAGCATTGCGCGCTTTTATATAAAGTCCAGCACTATCAGGGCATCCAACCACTTCAGTGTTTCTCACGAACATACCGGAGGTAAGACCTGGAAACAGAATATTAAAAATTAGAACAAAAAAACATTAAAAACCATATTAAATATAGAAATCCAGTAACAGACCTTTAAATGATATTATTTACACAAAAAGCACATGTATATCCTAAATTGCACATCTCTTCCTGTAATGCTAACCAGCAAGCGGTCTGATTTAAGTCTAAAATGGTGTATTGTGAAAGAAAGTGTGCCCCCTTTTCTCTAACTTTTCTCCTCTCCTAGAAAATCCTAGCATTCCATTTCTGTGCAGCCTAATGTGCATGATACCAAGTTGCTTTGTTTTCTTTTTCTTTTTTTTTTTTTTTTTTTTTAAGAATCTTGATAGTCAGAATGCCAGATATGTGATTAATGAGCCTAAACTGTCCTTGTTTCAGAAGTTTCCTCTACACCAAACAAATAATCTACACTAAATATTTATCTGTGTAATAACTGTAGCAGGTTATGGATATAGTTTGAAATTTCATTATTGAGAATTCATGCTGACACTTCTCAGGGATTTTCAATAAAAAATTCCACTCTCTTCTACCCAATGCCATCGCATGTCAGCCATATCCCTGCAGCAGCTCTTTCCAAAGCAGAACTCATCAACAGTCTAGAAGCATTCTTGAAAAGGAAATGAGATAACGAGAGAATAAAGGAAAATGATGGAAAAGAATAAAATAAACATGGAGAAATAGGTGGATTTTATTGTACTTGCCAATTTATTTCCCCTTAACTTACTTCTTTGTTTTATTTCACTTTATACGTCCGGTCAATGACCTTTCCCTCTGAAAATTCTGGTAAAGCCAGTTAACATATATGCAAACAAGAAGGGTTGGAAAAGAAACAACAATGTAATTTTTTTCTTTTTCCCTTAATTTTGGAGAACATGAAGGCAACATGGATGAATATGGTGGAATGAGTTTTTATATTTTAATCATAAAAAAGGAAGACAAGTAAAATTTCCTATATTTTTGTGCAGAAACCTTAGTAGTTAGTACTAAAAAGAACAGAAAATGAGAGGCGAGGTGAGACCTCATGCAACTTGCAAGAACTAGTGGCCTTATGACTATAGATCCTTTTTTGGACAACCTGGACTATTAATTTTGATCCCCGTCTTAAATGTAAGTATACAACAAATCATATAATAAAAGAGACACCTAATCACTCATTAAATGGTGGAACAATTATTGATTTTTCATAGCTATAAAAAAGATGATTAATTAACAATTTATATTTTAGGAGACTGAGATCCAGATGAATGGTGTGCATTGCCTAGAAGAATGATTCATTTTTAGTTATAAGATGCCTGATCAATGATCATGCAACTTGCTCAATGTGACATCTCACCTTCCATTTACTCATAAAAACATAGTATGATTCTCATGGAAATCTTAGAGACAAGATCCTACTTACTGAATCAATATTCTACAATCTCAACTGTCAACCTAAATGCAGCAGGTGGGCAAACAGAATTTAGCAGAGAATTTAATCAAGAAAGAAAATGAAAATATCAGTATTTGAGTCTGCATGTAACTTGCATTTTTTTCATGCATGTGATTGCCCGGGACTGGAAGTAAATCACAATAAATTAGGTTTCTTCTCATGAATGTGGCCTAACAGCAACCTTATATCTCTTTAAGGGCATATATCTCATAGAACACCCAAAACTTTAGGGTGTTTCCCATGAAACATCCCGAAACATTGTTGTTTTCCCACTAAACTCCCAAATACCCCAAAAGTACAACCCCAACAAAGAAAAAAAAACCTTCCTGCTTCAAAAAAAGAAATTTGCAACTTCTCCTAGAATAAATTGGAGGAAGGGTTTGAAGGAGGAGGATGAAAACCTTTTGGAGTTTTTGAGCCTTAGAGAAGAGAAGAGAAGAGGATGAGCCTTAGAGAAAATAAGAAAAGGAGAGAACTGCGTGGGTAACAATGTCCTCCAATTGCAAGAGATATTTTTTGGAGTTTTTGTTAAAGGAAACTTAGAAGTTTTAGGGAGTTATTTGAGAAACTTTGGAGTTTTTGGGTTTTGTGGGAAAGGTTTTGGGAGCTTAGTGGGAAAAACAAAGTTAGTGGATTTCGTGGAAAACGCCAAAAATTTTGGGGAGTTTTGCGTTCCCTTTCTTTTATTACCAACAATTTCGGTACTCCTATATATAATTTTTGGAGTACCAATAGAACAAATGTAATTATATTCCTCAATTTATGCTCTCTCACATCCAGAAATAACTGGTCCCATGATAAAATGAGTTCCACACTAAGTTTTGTAATAATTTACACTTTCAAGGGCAATTCTTAAGGTAACTTGGTCCATCTTCCTCCTGGGGTTTCAAGAGACCCATTACAACGGATCTCCTGACGAAAGAATTGATTCCAGTAAAGTGCAATGATCCTCGACCAGAAATTTCAATATTCAAGATCGTTCCAGTTAAGGACGATCTCGTTGATTTTCTTCAATGGGCTAATGGGTAAAAACTAAAAAAACCATTAATTTTCATGATTTAGGTAAGTACTAAATAAGTTTTCTTCATGCCCTTCTCCTCCTAGTATCTGATCCCAACTTCATTGATCATAAACTAACCACTAAAGAAGTCTACTAGTTTATTTATCCATCTTTTCTTATTGCATTCTTGATTTCTTCAAATCTTAATAGGAGCCTATCTTGTACTTCATTCATCTTGCCTTCGATGAAGTTCGGTGATTTGGCATCATTCTCATGGTTTTTGGATCGATGAGTTTATGGTTGAGAAAGTAACTGGTCTAGATTAATTGGAGGAAGGCTTTGAAGGAGGAGGATGAAAACCTTTTGTCTTCCCATATTACACTTTTTAAAAGAAATAAATCAATAAATATTTTAGAAGCACCGAAGCAAAGCTCTCTTCTATTTTACTCGTCTGTGTTTCCTTAGCTATCAAGAAGTTCTCTATTCCCCACAAAAAAATACCCACCATTGGAGCAATCACTCAATTCTAAGCAATAAAATAAAAGAAAGAAATACCCTAACCTCACCCAAGAAAGCAGCCTCTACTTCCAAAAATTTTTTTTTTGATAACCTAACCAAGAATCGAACTCAAGATCATGAAAGCCGTATTGGAACCTCCTAACCATGCGAGTCACCTGCAGTGAGTTCCAAAAGCAAAGTTTAATGACATCATTTGTGACACTGTGAAATTATTCTCCATAAAATCCAAAAATTTAAATGTTCTTCTCTATATAGTCCCAATTCAGCAAAACTCTTCGTTCATGAGATCCAATAACGCTCGACCTAACCACCATATTTTGAAGCTAATTCGACATCTAATCAGCCTCCAACAAACTCCAATGGACCAATTTCTCTCTAGATGAGTCACTATATCGTTCGTTCGTATTTAATTGGCATCAGAGCAAGTTGATCCACACTAGGATTCCACACCATAGATAACAAACGCAATGATATCTTAACATCAAGGAGATTTGCAAACTTGTTGTTAAAGACTCCCATAGAATTTTAGATAAATCAATCGAGAGCCAATTTTTTAGTGATAAAAAAATAGACAAAGAGCCCGAATCAAAATCAGAGTTTCAGCCAAAGGCTTAAATCTAATTCAACGCTAAGTCTAAAGTCCTAACACATAATTTAATCAACATGCAGTCCAAGTAACTTCTGGTACATGATAACTTGATAAATGAATTAATTACACCAAATCCACTGCCACTTAGCCGTTATCAAAATATGCAAATACTATTGAAGACCACACAGTCCAAGCAGCAAGACTTCCAATCAACTATTGGATTTATTATGTTATCTCATTTTAAAACTCGTGGTCAAGTTTTTTCCAACAAGTAGAGATTTGATGCATGAGAATCTGGAGAAAAAGTTAAGAATTTGTGAAAGACTCCTATTTCATTGAAGAACTTGGTTAGGATTAAATTTTTGTTAGGATTTTTATCTTTTAGGATATTTTAGAAAGGATTTTTGGTTTTATCTGTTAGGTTAAGGTATCTAATTTTTATATTCAAATCATATTAGGGTAGGAGTTGGTTTGAATTTTAAATTGTATTAGGATGGAAGTTTATTTCAATATTAAACTATATTACTAATATGATTCCAAACTCTATTTAAGTAGTTGTAGGATTAGATTGTGTTGGCAGAGAATTTAGTGAAGAAAAAAGATTATGACAATCTCGATATTTAAGCTTGCATGTGACTTGTCGTTTTGTTTAGCCATGTGAGTTATCCACGTGTGTAAGTTCAATTGATTAGGGGCTTAGTTTTTTAAGCTTATAAGTTATGTTGGATTTTGGTGGCCTTTGGCTTTTACAATAAGAAACTGTATGGGAGGAATAGTCATTTATTTGGTCAAACCTAACTTATTTGTATGAGCTTATATCTAGTTTTTCAAGTTGGGGAACCACAATTTTTTAAATCAGACTAAAAAACTAGATTACTTGGGCTTTACCAGCCACGTAGATATAGAAAAGCTAGCTTAAAAGCTACTTAGAACAAAAAAATTAGCTCATTCAAGCACTCTCTAGATTTTTGCATGTGAAGCCCCTAACCATAACATTTTCTTGCTCTTATTTACTGGTCCACAAAATCTTAATTATCCAAGCTTCCACAAATCAATCTCCAAAAAAAGCCAGTGATGCTGTCTAACCCACTCCTTCCCTTCCTTAGTGCGTACAACCAGAAAACCAACCGTAACAACCTAGTTGTTTTGTTTCCTGCAGCCAACAAGCTATAACTTACCCTCCTCTAGCCACAGTCCAACAGGATCTCACTCACCAACTGCTTAATACCCTCTTTCCTTTCTCTAATTCCAACCAACACAAATAGACAAAACTCCTTCCTCATCAAGCAAAAAATGGTGAATCTTACCGTCGAATGACAATCAAAGCAGATTCGAAGACAAAACTAATACAAAATTTTCCCAAAACACCAAGGCCCTAATTTCATTTTATAGGGCTAATTGCGAACTGAAAGCAGTCAAAACAGTCCACTTAGCATCCTTCTCACTCTGTCACAATGATATTGTTATTTTCTATTGCATCTTACTAACATTTTATAGGGCTAATTGCGAATAGACTACCTGTAGTTCATTTTTTTTGGTGGCAAATAGACCCCCTATAGTATTGGTCCAAATGCGAATACACCTCCTTAGTGTTCGATCTTTAAATATTCAATAAAAAAAGTAATTTACGGTCCATCCTCACCAATAGAACTGTAGGAGATCTACCAGCATCCTCAAACCTTTTTAATGATTTTAAGAGTTGAAAAAATTCACTCATGGGGTCTATTCGCAAAAATAGAACCACAGGGGGTCTATTCACAGTTGGGTGATACTACAGGAAGGTCTGTTTGTAACTAACCATGTCTTCTAAAATAGTAGCCGTTATTACAATATCAGCAGAATCAAATAAGCTTTAGCATGGCACATTTTACAAAAGATGTGCTTCAGTAGAAGACATCTGTCAGAGATTTATTTAGTATATATCTGGGTAGTGAGTACAAAAGTTCTATCTCAAGTAGAAAAAAAGATTAGTAAAGAAAAATCCAAAAGCATGAGCTCAAGCTAAATATAATATTATCTTTCATGAAAGCAGTAGTCTTAAGTAAAGGTATGCTCAGTTTATATTATAAAACGCTACAGGTTCTATCAAAACACAGAGGTGAGTAGGTGACAGACACAAATAAGTGGAAACCTCAATCACTCAGATCTGCTGCATACAGTTATGAATCAAAGTTAAGAGAGATTTCACTAAATTTAAGATCATAAATATATCTAAACATGAGAAACTTACATACTCCATGCATATTTCCTCTTTTATAATAATTCCAACTTTAAATATCTTTTAATACCAACCATAAGATTTTCTTTTACTTTATTTCAAATTAGAAGACATTGTCATAAAAGGATGCTAAACATAATTTATACCATAAAAAAGAACACGATATACAAGAACCTGTAAGACAGCTGAAGTCAGTATGCCAGCCAGCCCATGATGAAATCGATTTGCTATCTTCCATGCATTCACTGCAAGGTAAACATGACAACTTTGTGAGTGACAAGAGAAGACTCGAAAATAAAGGAACCTTTCTCTCAATAAGAGGAAATGCTACTTAATCAGTGATGGAATTTGAAGAATACAACCCTCTACACAAAGGACACTTTTATTGATAGAACACTAGAGAGTACAATACTTGCTCTTACAAGAGCACCTCACTTTCACACAACTCTTTTATTTTGGTGAACACTCACACAAGCCTACACTACACACTCAAGCTTTCAAGCTTACTTCTTGCTTGCTTACCCAAATGTGAGCTCAAGACCCCTATTTATAGTCGTTTAAGAGGGCTAGGAAGTGTGTAGAAGAGTTAATCTTAGCTATACATTACTAAGAAGTTTCTAAAAGAATAAATACTAGTCATACACTTGTATCTTTCTAGAAATTTCTTGATAGATATTTTGTAGGATGTTACCAGAAAGAAGTTCTAGAAAATTATTCTAGAATAATCTAAGTTGGTGAGGAATTCTAATACTCCCCCTCATCACCAACTTTCATTTCTCACAAGTCCAACCTTCTTCTTAAGCTTTAAAAATGTTTCTGTCTTTAGTGGTTTTTGGTGAAGATGTCAGCGATTTGGTCTTCAGACTTACAATATGTCAGCATCACAGTCTTATTTTTAACTTGATGTCAGATGAAATGATATCTTGTCTCTATGTGTCTGCTCTGTCCATGTGCTACCGGATTTTTGGCAAGTGCAATAGCTGACTTGTTGTTGATGAGAATCTCTGTCGGTGCTTCTTGTTCATGCTGTAGCTCCTTCATTAGATTTCTAAGCCATATCGCTTGACATGCACCTACAGATGCACCAATGTATTCTGTTTCGCAACTTGATAGAGCACCAACGGACTGCTTCTTTGATAACCAAGAAAAGGCTTCTGATCCAATGCTGAACATGTAGCCGGATGTACTCTTTCTTTCATCCAAGTCCCCCCATAGTCACTGTCGGTGTAACCGACTAGTCTTGGATCTACACTTTGTGAGTAAAATAATCCTTCAGTCGGTGTAACCGACTAGTCTTGGATCTACACTTTGTGAGTAAAATAATCCTTCATTAATGCTTCCTTGAACATACCTGAGATCTTGGATCTACACTTTGTGAGTAAAATAATCCTTCATTAATGCTTCCTTGAACATACCTGAGAATCCTTTTGGCCACATTGAAGTGTTCTTGCCTTGCCTCCTCCATGAATCTGTTCACCAGTCCAACCGCAAACATTATGTCGGGTCTTGTGATGGTCAGGTACCGTAGGCTTCCGACTAATCTCTTATACAAAGTTTGATCAATAGAGATTCCTGGTGAGTCTCTCCTCAGCTTCACTCTGACTTCGACAGGAGTTGCAACTGGTTTGCAGTTGTTCATGTTGAACTTCCGAATGATCTCCTTTGGGTACTTTTTTTGAGAGATGAAGATTCCTCTCTCAGATTGCGATACTTCTACTCCAAGAAAGTATGACATTTTTCCAATGTCAGTCATCTCGAACTCCCTGATCATGTTCTTCTTGAACTCCTCGAACATTTTTGGATTGTTGCCGGTGAAGATCATGCCGTCCACGTAGAGACATACGATCATAATGTCTCCATCCTTCTTATTGGTATAGAGAGAGTGCTCATACGGGCTCTGCTGGAATCCATTCTTCTGGAAGTATGCATCGATTCTGGCATTCCACACCCTGGGTGCTTGTTTCAATCCATACAATGCATTCTTCAGTTTATAGACTTTATCTTCTTGGTTCTTCACCTCATACCCCGGTGGCTGCCTGATGTAGACTTCTTCTAGGTAGCTATTCAGGAATGCAGACTTCACGTCCATCTGGTAGATCTTCCACCGGTTCTATGCTGCCAATGCGATAATGAGTCGGATGGTGTCGATCCTCACGACTGGTGCGAACACTTCTTCATAGTCAATTCCTTCTCGCTGACTATAGCCCTTTGCAACAAGTCTGATCTTGTATTTCTCAATTCCGCCATCTTGATTTGTCTTTGTCTTGTACACCCATTTTACTCCAATTGGTTTATGGCTTTCAGGTAAGGTAGTGAGCTCCCATGTGTCATTTCTCTTGATTGCCTCGATCTCGTCATACATGATTTTTCTCCACTTGTCTTCTTGAGCAGCTTCTTCATAGCTGACCGGATCACATTCTGCAAACAAGCAGAATAGTGTATAGTCATCCATCATCTCGACAGTTTCTGTATCGTCGTACGGATCTTTTAGGCTTCTCATCCTCCTTGTTGCTCCCCCTGAAGAGCTTCCTTCACTTGAGCTGGATAGTGATGAAGTCGGCGTCGATGTTAGGGTTGATGGAGCTGGACTATTAGGTGGACTTTGTTCTGGTATTCCAACCTCCTGCAAGTCATCATCATTATCTTCAAAGAACATACCCTTAATATTTTTATCTTCATCGATCCATTTCTAATAATCTTCTTCATCGAACTCCAGGTCTCTTGAAATGATCTTCTTTGTAATTGGATTGTATAGCTTGTATGCTTTTGTCCTCCTCTCGTACCCAACGAATATACACTTTTCTCTTCGATCGTCCATCTTCTTTCTTTTCTGCTCTGGGATATGTGCATATGCAATGCACCTAAACACCTTCAGGTGGTTAACGCTTGGCTTGATGTTGGTCCACATCTCTAATGGTGTCTTGAACTTTACGCTCTTTGTCGGACATCGGTTGAGGAGGTAAATTGCACAGTCCACGGCTTCAGCCCAGTAAGTCTTCGGCAGGTACTTGCTCTTCAACATGCTTCTGACCATATCAAGAATGGTATGATTCTTCTGCTCTGTTATGCCATTCTGCTGTGGTGTGTAGGCGACAGTGAGTTGATGAATTATCCCGTATTGCTTGTTGAAATTATTGAATGCCTTCGAAATGTATTCTCCGCCTCGATCTGATCGGAGCACTTTGATGTGGTACCCACTTTGCTTTTCTACCATCTCCTTGAATTTTTTAAATTTCTCCAGAGCTTCGGATTTCTCCTTCAGGAAATAAATCCAAGTTTTTCTGCTATAATCATCAATAAATGTGAGAAAGTACCTATTTCCTCCAAGAGAGATGACTTCAAATGGTCCTGTAATATCTGTGTGGACCAATTGTAGCAGCTCTGTTGCTCTTCTTGACTTTCCAACTTTAAAACTTCTTCTATGTTGTTTGCCCTTCATACAGCCTTCACATAGCTGGTTGGTAAACAGTCTATTTCGAGACATGTTCACCTTTACAATTACTTTATTTTTATTCTTGATAGTGAGGGCAAGGTCTTTTAGATGTATATCATAGCCTCTTTCAAAGAGCTAGCCTAGACTTAAAATATTATTTTATAGTGCTGGAACATAATAGACGTCAGAGATGTACCTATTCTCACCCGTCTTTATCTGGATCATTATCTTGTCCTTGTCCTTTACTGGAATCTTTGACTGGTCTCCAAAAGTGACATCTCCTTGTACCGTCTCATTTAGCTCGGTAAAGAACTTCTTGATGCCACACATGTGGTTACTAGCACCTGAATCCAGATACCAGATATCTTGATTCTTGCTTCCATTCTCCTGGTATGTCAGCAGGACTGTTGAAGTGTCTGGCTGCTCCCTTTCTACAAAGTTACCTTTTTCTGCCACTTGATTTGGTTTCTCCCAGCATTCATAGCTGAGATGGCCGTATCTCTTGCATTTGTAACACTGTGGCTAAGATCTATCCTCCTGGTAAATTTTTCCTTGTCCTCGTCCTCGTGCGCCACGACCTCGTCCTCGATCGAACGATCGTTCACGATCTCCATTTCGATTTTGATTTTCATGACCTCCTTGGTACTGTCTCTTACGACCTTGTTGGAAGTTTGAGCCACCTCGTAAAGAGCCTCTGCCTCTGTAACATCCACGTCCTTTTTGACTATCTTCTTTGATAGTCATCTTAATCTGCAAGGCTTTCTCTAGATTCTCCGTTTAATTTGCACTAATGTTTATATCTTGTTCATAAGCTTGCAGAGAACCTTGCAGAATCAATAGAAACTTCGGAAAGATCTTTAGACTCTTGTATTTTTTTTTTTTTTTGGTCAATGAACTGTAAATTTTATTCATCTCCCAAAATGAACATGTAAGGTATTACAAAGAACCAGAAAAACCTGGAAACCAAAAGAAAATTACAAATTTCCAAGTAGTTCTTTCATATGCACATATGAACTATCATTTAGGACTTTATAGAAAACTGAAAGTTTAATATCCCTAAAGACTTGAGCAGGCATCCTTCTCTTGTCCTGAAAAGTTCTTAAATTTCTCTCCCTCCAAATCATATATACAGCAGCAGATAATACCATCCTTTTCAGCTTCTTCATAGGTTTTTTTCCTTTCAAATTGAAAGAGTACCAGTTCAGTAGCATGCTCCATGAACAGGATCTCCATTTATACCCCCAACCAGCTCATCACTAAGTTCCACACTTCAGCTGAATATTTACACTCAAAGAAGATATGATCCCTTGTTTCTATTTGGTGACTGTCACACAGAACACAGTGAATTTGATTGGTGCTCAAGATGTTCATACGGCACAATCTATCTTTGGTAAGTAGCCTAGAATGACATGCTAACCAAAACACAAAGGAGTGTTTAGGGTATAGGAAGCCATCCCAAACTGTTTTAGCCCAAGTAGCTATACTAGCAGGTTGCAAAAGAGCTCTGTATACTGCAGTTAAACGAAGATTTCCTTCAGAGCAACAATCTGCTATAACATTCATCACAGTATCAGCACTTCCAAACTTACTCAAAAGCAAATCTCTCACTTTAAGGAGTTGCCTCCACATCCAAGAGTCATTAGTCTTAGGTTGAACAGTCCATATACCTTGGTTATGTAGATAGTTTCCATGAACCCACTTGATCCATAGGAGATCCTTTAGACTCTTGTATTGCCGGAATAATATATTTGAATTGAAAGTCTAAAGTCCTAAGTATCTTCTTCATAGTTCTTACATCATTAATTTCTACTCCATTTCTCTTCATTTGATTAGTTATTGTCCGAACTCTACTAAAATAGTCTGATATTGATTCTGTAGTGATTAGTTATTGTCCGAACTCTACTAAAATAGTCTGATATTGATTCTGTAGCTTTCATCTTCAAATTTTCAAATTCAACTCTTACTGTAGCTTTCATCTTCAAATTTTCAAATTCAACTCTTAATGCTTGGAGGCGTACCTTTTTGGCTCTTTCTGCACCTTGATAGGATTTTTGTAAAATCTCTCATGTTTCTTTAGATGATAGAGCGTTGGAAATCTTCTCAAACGCTGATTCATCTACGCCTTGGAATATTAGGAACAAAGCATTTTTATCTCTTTTTCTGACCTCCTTCAGCTCACTCTTCTGTGTGACAGTGAGAGTTATCTGCTGCAGGTGACTCCGGTTCAGTGTAGTCATTCTCCACGAGTTCCCACAAGTTTTACGAGCCGAGCAAGACTTTCATCTGGATACTCCAGTTGTCGTAATTGGTCTTCATCAGTTTTGAAACTTGTGGCTGGATCATGTTCGCCATCTCGTACACGAGCGCCTTCGATTGGCCCGGTTAGATCAAACCTTGCTCTGATACCATTTTGATGGAATTTGAATAATACAACTCTCTACACAAAGGAAACTTTTATTGATATAACACTAGAGAGTACAATACTTGCTCTTACAAGAGCACCTCTCTTTCACACAACTCTTTTATTTTGGTGAACACTCACACAAGCCTACACTACACACTCAAGCTTTCAAGCTTACTTCTTGCTTGCTTACCCAAATGTGAGCCCAAGACCCCTATTTATAGTTGTTTAAGAGGGCTAGGAAGTGTGTAGAAGAGTTAATCCTAGCCATACATTACTAAGAAGTTTCTAGAAGAATAAATACTAGCCATACACTTGTATCTTCCTAGAAACTTCTTGGTAGATATTTTGTAGGATGTTACTAGAAAAAAGTTCTAGAAAGTTGTTCTAGAATAATCTAAGTTGGTGAGGAATTCTAATAATCAGTTGGAGATTTGACAGCAGCATGAAACGATTTTTTCCTATTTTAATTCCTTTTTTATATCTCCTGGTAAAGGACCCTAACCTTTCATTATGATAAGTGTGATATAATTACAACAGCTCCCAATCAACAACAACATTCAGGGAGAGATTTGTGCGAACAGCAGTGTCAGCTGCTGACATCACCACGATGCACATTAGTTTTGATCTAATTCTTATACGTGCTATATATGATGACCTGCTTTACTCCTAGCCAGAATCGGGATGTGATGAACCAATAAAGTACAGTAATTAACAGCTCATGGTGCATGCAGATACAAGGCAAACACAAGCTATTTTCCGGTTTAGATTCTAGCACTGGGGAACTTAATAGAATGAGGGAAAAGCAACTGTAGTAATCATTACCTTTTCTGCTTTGGGAAGTAATAGAGTAGACGAGCTTTGTGGCACCTGGAGCGCTTAATTATCTTCTCAATGCCTTCATCCTCAACAATCATCATTGTTTTTGACACTAGATATTGGGGAAAAACAGAAGAACACACATCAGAAAAGGATAATGTTTGCAATGAAGTTGATAGTAACTCCTAAATATCAGACTACTTCAACCCGTGCATCCTGCTTTTTTTTTAACTTTTTTGTCAGAATGGTTGTATCTCGGATCCCCGAGGGTGGAGTGGTGGAGGTGGAGAGGTGTGTTAGAATTATAAGGAAAGGTGCCTTCTCTTTAATGGAATAAAATCTTCAGGCATTACTTTGACATTAAAATTAAAGTCAAGGACTTTATGCAATAGTTCTTGTCACTAAATATTCTAAAGAATTGTATAAAAAGATAAATCTATAATTTATTACAATATATAACATAGATGTAGGGGGAACTAACAAAAGTCATAGCGTTCAAATAAGCAAATCTTTGATGCAAATATTTACATAAAGGAAACATTATAATGATCAACAAAGTAATTCATATTCTAAAAGTAATAAATGGAGAAGGTTATCATAAAGTCATTTACTGAAAGCTGAAATCCAAAAGGGAACAAGTTGAAGTGAGGTTGTGTTGACAGATTTCATAAGCAAAGAAGTTTGGAGTTTGAATAGTGCAGAATCTTGCTAGCATGAGCATGCACCACTTCTTGAAAGGACTTAAGGGTGCCAAGGGAGCTATGATATCTTAGGATATCTAAGACCCATGCAAACTGCATGTGTTCTCATTGCAAGGGTTACTCATTTTTATTTTCAAAATATTAAGGACACAGTAGAGTAATAGGCTCCTTTGCTTACATGACCTAAATGCACAACCAATGTGTAGTATCTACCAACCAATAGATATCTATCTGGCTCAAACTTTGAAGGCTGATATTAGTTCAATTATAAAAAAATTGACGGTCATATGATCCCATGTCCTCCAATCTTCCATTGATGCCTTCTTGTCTAATGGGAAAAGATTTATTAGCTTTAAAGGAATCCATATAATCTAAACTTAATCTGCTTAAGAGATATGTAACAACCTAGGCATATGTATATGCTCTAGCTTGAAGGAGAGTGTTAGATATTATTAGATGTCATAAGGTATTTGTAGATAGTATTAGATCTTATTGTATTATCTTATGATCACTTATCCTATGTAACCGCTTGTGCCTATCCTATGTAACAACGATTGTGAGGATATCACAGGGATACTATTATGAATATCAATAAATCAATTTTCTCTTTTCTCTACAATTTGAATACATGATAGATAATATATACGTGCGCACACGCGTGTGTGTATTAAAACATTCAAATCTGCACAATTTGATTAATCAGCACATAATCCAATTAATTGTAACTCACTGTTGGACCGCACATATAATGAAACCTTTATCATGTAGATTGCAATCACAACTTGATGATATCAAAATCCAAAAGCCAATAAGCTATCGTGTTTAATAAACTCAATAAGAAATTCTTATTGAATTGGCAGTATCAAAACCATAAACTCAGGTTCAGGTGGGTAGTCAAGAAGGAAACCAATCACACCATTTACCTTACTCCATCCCATGTGCATGCATTGTATGTGGATGAATCAATCTGGCACAGGGTCAGATAACAACAACCATTGAAAAAGTGATTCTTTGTTAATGCTGGAAATCTTAGAGAAGAAAAGTTACTATCTACCATAAATACTTGTACAATTGAAATATATAACAAACCTAAGTACACTTCAGAAGTGTTCAATGCATCTCTATAGACTATATTGTGTCTCAGAATTACTGGTATTTGACATGTGCCTTAAGCTGAAACCATAACCAACTTGGAAGGCATATAATATATGGATGAAATGAGATTGGATCATAACCCCTTGACATTTCATGGATAACATGACTTCAAGTCATATAAACAAAGAAGAAGAAAGAAAAAAGAAGCTCCAAGCAGCTCCATAAAGTCGTGATTCAAAGGAGTTTGTCTCTATCAATTACATTTCAGCAAGTGATTCCATCTTCCATAACAGCAGAAACATTATCTCAAGAAGATTTACTGAATTTTAATCTGAGAAATTTGATCAACTGTGACTTCCACAAATGATATGTGGACACTGATAAATATCCATTGCTGGTTGATGTGAGTAAACTACTTTATAAGACTTTGCCAAAGGATATAGAATTTGAGAGTATGACAGGAATCTTGTGGAAATCATGGCTGCTCCTAGAAAGATGTTAATATAGAACCTACGGAATGAAAGCAATAAAGAGAAAATAAAGAGGGCAGAAAGATTAGAAAAATAGAAGAGATGAATGAGAAATGAGACATATTATACTTCAGGAATACTCAAGAGAAAAAAGGACGAATATAACTCGAATCACTAATAAGGAACAAAATATCTTTCAATAAATTATCTAGTAAACAAAGTCCAAAAATATCATCTATTACCTATCTCAAAGATAGCCTCTAGTTCAAAATTTTCATGAAATATTGGATCCAAATTTGCTGAATTTGATGACAGAAATTTTCAGTGGATATATGTAGGGGTAGGACACAAGGTACAAGTCTACAACTTAACATTTGGTATTTAGTGCGGTTGAATATCTATAGCTGGTAAGAATATGATAGTTTTGTCGCTTCAGGGAAACATAATACGGCAAATTGATGGGACATCAACATCAGAGCCCTTTTCCTTTTGCAAGGGAGAAAGTTTTCAGTCCGCTCTACGCCTTCAGTTGGGAAATTCAAAGTTCTTTTCTCTGAGATAGCTATATTGTACAGTAGGATTATTCGATATGAGATAGCTATATTGTACAGTAGGACACAAAGTAAATGTATACATGATAATTTTCTTACAATATGAATTTCCAAAGCTTAAAAAGTTCTGTTATTAGTAAACCACCCATAATGTTGGCAATTTAACAAATTTTAACTGATTGTCAATAGGAATCCTCGATACAGTTTTTTATTTACCAATAATTCCTAACTGAAGCAAAAATTCGGTATCACTTAGTTTATTCAAATTTTCTCCAATTGTTTACTTTGGCACCCTAAAGTTTAAAAAACTACAAAAAATGATACCCTAAAGTTTTTACCACTTTGGTACCTTCTGTTAGTTGACCATGAAATTCCATTAGATCACTTGATGACCACATGATTACTTTTGGACATTTTAACCTTGAGACAAATTTTTATTTTTGACCATAGTTGAAATTTATTTAGCATTTTTGACCCACTTTGCACTTATTTAGCAACCACCTGGCTGAAATTGGGTCGAATTACTACATGGGATTAAGAATCCTGTGTAGTTTAGGACAAAATTAACAACTACGCTAAACTCCACGGGATTCTGACTCCCGTGGAGTTTTGCACTGCAGTAACTCCATGGGATTTGAAATCCCGTGGAGATTGATTAATCCAAACTCCACGGGATTCCGAATCCCATGGATCTGCAATATCAACTCCACCAAAAGCTCAAATTCAACACTTGCATCCTCCTCTTCTATTATCACTCTTGTGGAAGGTCTTATATCTTGATGGAGAGCGTTATAATCGAAGGCACTTGAAATCCCTACAAGTGAATGTCCACTCAAGTATTGTGAATGTGTCCAATCCATATCCCGTTGCGGAGAAAAAATTAGTCGAGTCATCTTCAAGGTCCTCCAACATGTGAGAATACACTTCGTCATGAATCATCGATTTGCCCACATTTCTTTTATGTTTTTCAATAAATAATTCCACCGAATGCTTCTCATCATTTAATATGAAGATGAGACTCATATCATAGTCATTTGAGATTTGAATGCTGCTTATTCTGTTCCCCGTTACGGGATATTTGCATATCATATTAAGGTGATATTTACATGGATTGATTAATGTAAGTTTATATAAATCATTAATCAATTCATTGGAAAATACATGATTTGGATATAAACAACGATTTTGTTACACCTTCATATACAGCCATGTTATTCTCGAGATAGTTAATTTTCTCATCATATAAATAAAGATTAAGATTCGATGGTTCATCGTTACCCCTGAGGAGTAAAAAATTTCAATATCAATTAGTATTACATGGAGAACACTAAAAATAATATTTACAATTAAATTCCCTAATTTTAACAATTTTCACTTAATTTTTACAATTCCATAAGTTTTACAATAGGTCAAACCCTAAGATTTTCAATTCCCTAATTTTAATAATTTTAACAATTTTCACTTTAACAATTTAATTCCTTAGTTTTTACAATTTTCACTTATTTTTTGCTTCTAATATCACATTTTCCTCCAAATGTAAGTTTACAATTTCAACACATTCTTCTAAAATATAAACTAGAACAATCTCTAGGGATAACCATCAATCCAAATTCACAACATTAATTCAATTAACAATATTTTATATTATTTTCCCTAATTTTCCTTCAAATTCCATACAAATTTCCTTCATTTTTCTTCACAAAATTTAAAAAATATCAAATGTTAATCCATAATCTCAATTACAATAAGCTATTAGGATGCAATGGTGAGAATATGTAAAATATTAGGAGTAAAACAAAAAAATTTAAAGAATTTACCAAAAATTAGGTCAAACCATAAATTTGAGATCTGACGAACTCCGACGAAATCCGGCAAACATCGGCCCAATGGAGGTCGGCGGTAGTGGAGGAAGGTGAACGGAGATGGTCGAAGGGGTTGGAGATGGTCAAGAGCACAAGAGAGTCACAAACACTAGGGGAAAGAGGGAGGAGAAACAAAGAGTGCGAGAGGGAGAGCAAAGAGTGGGAATGGTGGAGGTGTATAAGTAGTCGGGGGGGGCAAGTCATTATGCAACTTCACGGGATTCAGAATCCTATGAAGTTGCAGGGTGATTCTGGCAGAGAGTTGGAAATCAAACTCTGCGAAAATCACCCTACAACTACACGGGATTGCAAATCCCGTGTAGTTTGAATAAATCAACTACATGGATTCAGAATCCCGTGCCGTTCGGTACAGTACGCAACCCAACTAATTGTAGTGTTAAACTACATGGATTGAGAATCCCGCGTAGTTTAGTGTTCTACTAAGCTACACGAGATTCTCAATCCCGTGTAATTTTCTGCACTTATTTAGCGTTTTCGATCTAATTTCAGCCAGGTGGCTGAAACTGAGTCGAAAATGCTAAATAAGTGCAAAGTGGGTCAAAAATGCTAAATATATTTCAAATATGGTCGAAAATAAAAATTTGTCATTAACCCTTGTTTTAAAAAGAAAACACTTTAAATCCTCTTCTTCTGCTATATTTATAATTTTACATGGTTACAGAAGGTAGAAATGTCATTTTAAGTCCGCCCCATTAACAGTGTTTAGATACTTTTTAATTATTTAGGGTACATTTTGCACAAATTTATACTCATGTTACTAAAGAAAGAATTAGAGAATTTAGGTATTAAAGTAAATAGCTTTGACAATGCTGCGTGAATCTAGGTTTTAGCCTATGAAAAGGGTGCTCAACCTGCAAGGACATGTTAAAATATAAAAATATAACACTCAAGGGCCTTAACCCTCACCACAACTTTGGAGTTTTGGTGGTGGTGACAGGGACTTTAACGTAAGGGAGGGACAAAATAAAAGAGTTAATCCTTTAAAATTCAGAATATTCTAAAGAGAAGACTAGCTTCCACATTAACTTGCATGGAAAAAAAATTAATGAGTTCAAAAAATTGTCAAAGAAATACCATATTTGTCACAGTGAAATGCTAGCTTCAGCCCCACATCAAAAATCATCTTTCCCAGAGCTTTAAATGCTGCAAAGGTTATAAACTGTTAGGAGGCACATCTTACCATAGCTATTGCAGAAACAATAAGATAATCTTTAGTTAACTAAGGGCTCAAGAGAACATTTATAGCAAAATAATAAGAATGGCCATATATATCGTCATACACCTATTAATTTAACTTGAATCAAGACATTATACTCTTTCAACGTTTCTGATCTTACAAATTCATGTTATGTACAATGACAATAACAAACAACTGAACAAGCACACATAATTTTATTGTTATCAAAATTCTTTTGCTTTAATTTGTAACCTAAGTTTTAGGACAGGATGATCTTCATGTCTATATCATGGCATATCTGTAGCTGTATTGGTTTGTTGTAGCATCGGGTGAAGAAAATGGACAGAATTGTCGTCAGTAGCTAAGGAACAAGGAAATTTTATATGGAAAAAATTTTTCAGCAAAATTTGAGGAAAAAGGACCTCAAAAGGTGAAGGTACACAGAATGCCGTTTCTCTTAGAGGCAGAAGGTGCTTGAATACTTAAGAAAGGTGGTTTGTCGCACTTAAGAAGAACATTCCAATCTACCTCAACAAGATCGTTGATCCAAAAGGGTAATTGTGAAATCCAACAATATGACATGTCAAGACATCCCTCTTATTGACACTGAAGGCAAGTTTATGGATACCTCTGGATCTAGTCCTAACAAAGAAGTAAACAGAAGATAGAAGTACTTGAAAATTCTAGTGGAGGGTTTGTTGAAATACTCATTAAACTATACACAGGTGCTGACTAAGCTGGATCTTTATTTTATGAGATTAGCCACCGAGGACTATGCACTTGTTGGTGAGAATCTTATGTCTGGAGAAGTGTGGAACAGAATACAGTTGCCAAATGCAACTCAAGACTGAGAATCAAACCATAGCTCGTACTACTTTCCTTCAATGGATAAAGCATATGGCAAAGGAGTTGGGAATTTGAAAAAACTTTTCTTCCTGCTCTTGTTTAAATTCATGTTCACTGAATATATTTTCTAAAAGTACAGTTAAATTTTTTTTTATTGAGACAAAGTTCTAGAAAGAATTATTCACAATTCTTATGTTATAAGTACCCGGAAACTTTTCTTATGAATTGATTTTACAATGGGACAGATGGAATATATCTGTAACAAGCTGGGCACTCTTGCACATTCGTTAGGTAAGGTCCTGCTTGACTATGTCCTATGTATATTTATTGAATATAGTTGCTCTTCAACTTCAATTAACCTACTAACCTAAATATAGTGTCTAATGCCCTCAGTTGCTCCTTACCCTACTGCAATTCTTTTTCCAATGGCTTCCTGTTTCTTGCTTTTTCTTCCAGTCTCCCACCTTAGCTTGTTCAGTAAAGCATCATTCTTATTAAAGAAAGACACCATAACTCCATCTATACTAAAGATCACACGATTATACATTCTTGAGAATTGGTCATTCTATATCATATTTCAGATCTAGAGTGATCACTGATGGGTGCCTGTCCTCAAATTCCATCCTAGCTAGCTTTATTTAAGAATTTAGCAGATATAGATAAAGTTTGATATCAATGAAGTTATCCTCAAAGATCACTAACTATTTGCATAAAAGAACCAATAAAAGGTACGTGCATTGATAAAATTCAATGTTACCTCAGAGGGCCAAATGAGCTAAATTTTCTAATTTGTACCTTTTGTTATCCAATAACTTAGCACTGATTTACAGAGGATATGGCTTAAAATGTGCAACGGAAACAAATGAGTCAGCCAATATGGAGTTAAATATGAGTGGAGATTCCCGAGAGAGGAACACTAAGGATCAAATAAAAGAAGATGAATTAAGACATTAAAAAGATACCATAATTGAAACCAAAGCAGAATGAAGAAAAATAATTCCTGTAGCTGATCTAAATGATCTTGAATAATGTGTTTTTCTTAATAGACATGCTGTGATAATATACTTCTGTCCTGTGCCTGGAAGATGTGGAGAATTATGACAATGTAGAACAAGGCTTAGAATGGATAGTATTAAATATAATATTTCTAAACTACCTTTTGCTTTGGGAACAGCACTGGCACAAGATGGTGTGACAATGCATGAACAGAAGTTGAAGGATCGCGTTACAGAACATTGTAAATTACATTATCAGAGTCATGAGAATGATGCTCACTTACCCCCTTCAAGCTCAGGCAAAGCACTGCTCGGCCATTTATTTGGACAACAAAATGATGGGTACCTAAGAGGATCCATTTATAGAAATAAGAACAGGATGATTAAACATAATGGAAAACTGCTGAGAAAAATTTAACGTTAACTTAAAAAAAACTCACAAAGAAAACTAGTAAAGATATTGAAAAACTCTTGGAGAGAGATATGCAGAACAGAAAAAAAGCAAATAAAATATTACAAGATTCGAAGAAAACCAATAAAGAACAGAATAGGAAGAAAAGTAAAGCTTCCATGAGTAGTATACGTATTAATCATTACTCATTAGTACTCCTTGTTAAAAGAATGTTCAGAATATTCTATAACCATCAAGATTTATTAAATCATTGAACTGCAAGTCAGCAACTAAACCACTAGAGAATGGATGCCAAAAAATCAATTGACTCGGAAATTAGAGAACACTATTCTCAACACTTCGTCAAGGTCAATGAGATGACCAATGGTGTATGACTCACTGAGACACAATGCTTTGAGAAAATAAAATAGTGTGCAAAGGGATGCTTGTCATATTGAAACATCATGTTTAAGGTATATTGGGCACTGTAAGACAGAAAATGCTTCCAACTGTGTGCCCAACAGATGCGACTGGGGTGATGATAGTGTAAGCCATTTAATAATCAAAAGGGCCAAGCACAAAGAGGAAGTCGTGGATGATATTTGTATAATGGAGATCAATGAGTGTCATTGGTATTCTGGTTAAACAATTGTCAGGTAACAGAATGTAAGCTACAGGAACTCAATATTTGTAATCTATTCAGCTCAGTGGTTACCCGTAAATGTTGATGCAGCTAGTGTGAGTTTTGGACTGGAAGGGCCTAGTATCGGCAAATTATCAAGTTTCCTTCTCAACTTACATGGGCACTGAAGATATTCCTTTGAGGTTCCATCGAGTAAGTAGTCAACTTGGTTCAAAAGACAAGCTGACTCTTTATTTTCAAATCTTGAGGTGAGGAATAACATGTTTTTATGTTTTTCGTTGCATGAAATAATTCATTTTCTGGGTATATTAGCCATAAGGTCCAATTTCTTTGCAGAATTGACGGTATATCTTCGAAATAACTACCTAAAAATGAAGCTATAGGTCTGACAGTTTACATTATTTTAAAGAGTGTATAGGATGTTTCTGATGGAAAAAGACAGACCACAAGGTTGTGGCATATATCTGTTCAAATTGGGAATGGTTCACGTACTATTCACATAGAATAAGAGTGAAGAATTTCATATGCTTACACATCAATTTCCAAAGGTTTATAAGCATACATGTCTCTTATTCATAATCATCCGTATAGGTGTATGATACTTGAACAAGTAATATTTGGACAAATAATACTAGAATTTAGAAGAAGTGACACAAGTAGCAGTGTTGTGACCTCTTCAAGATGTATTTCTAATTTTGACTCCGGTTGCTTCAGCTAGGAGCAGATATGCATAGAAATTATGATTTCTATTTTAGTGAATCTTGACTTTTATTTGATTAAGATAACATAAAATTGGTTATATATATTGTTCAATATTAGTAATTTTCTTTTGACATATCTACTGAATTTTTGGTCTGGTGCTTTGGTTTTCATTTACAAATAACACTCATATGTATCCATATCTTGAGTCTTTACACTGAC